CCGAGAAAAGGATGGAAGGATCCTGTTCATATGGACCTGTCGTCAGACAGAACACTAAATAAATAAATAAATAAATAAGTTGAAACTATTACATAAAACGTAACTACGTTTTATTTTTTTTCGAATAGTAATAATAGTAATAACAATTACAAAAATAATATTTTCCGTGCCTAAATTATTACATAGCTGGATGTATATTTCAAATAATCGTTACATCAATTAGAATCCTTGTGAGAAGCTAATAGTCGCTCATCAAGAAATCAGCAGCCTTCGGTAAACAACACTTCCGTGTTCACAAGATCCATCCAGTGGTTTATGTCTTGATCCAGTTTTATCCATTCCGCACGACTTAACACGGTACTTATTAACATTCTTCTTTAAAACATTTATTAAAATAATGAGATAACTTTAATGAATGTTGTGAGATTGTTTTATTCTACAAAATTCAAAGAAAAACCAAAATTCAAATTTGGTGGCTAGCCTTTGACATGATTAACAGATGTTGGGTTTTCTTTTCACAACAAAGTTCAAACACAACCCTGAAATTCATCACCGTGATATAATAAAATTGCCTTAGTACTACTTGCATTCTTAATCTCTGCACAAAATATAGGCAGATGTTTAAAGTTATGCTCTGATATTTTCACCGCAGCGAAACACCTCCTGTCCTGAGACAGAAAACATGTTCTACAATATTGAAAGTAGTAATTATGGAAGCAGAATTAGTACCACGTAGCTCCAGCACGCTGATTAAGCGTGATTCTATGGCAAACGACAACTTGGTCACTTGCCATCAGATTGGAAGATAAAATATACTATTTATTATTTATGTAGTGTTCTGTGTGACGACAGGTCCATATGAACAGGATCCTTCCATCCTTTTCTCGGACTGGGACCTGTTCATATACGTTCTTGGCAGATGATCCAGAAGTGGTTTGCCATTGCCTTCTTCTGGGTGTGAATGGAGTAATTGTTGGGACGCCACGGAGAAACCGGGGAAGCCCCCGGAGGAAAACTCCGGGTTGCCTAGACCACGGCCTTGCCCAACAAAAAATAATGTTATTAAGACGGCTATAATTAGCGTCTCAAATATACAACTCTTAAATAAGGTACCATTACCTATCGTCACTTCAGGTACAAGAATTTGCAACATGGAACATAGGAGTAGAAAATGTTTGTTACATTCAGTGGGGAAGGATCTCACCAGATACAGTAGGATGGTTCCCAGTGTGTTGAATAACGAGCCATGGAATAGCACAGGAACTTGTTTCTGGTAGTCGAAACACCTGGAAAGTGATCTGTCTGGTAGATACGTTGTGGAGGTTCCAAGTCTGAGAGTACAGGGCTGTATCACCACGGCAGAATCATCAGACGCAAGCGGCTGAATGATAGGAGTTCGGTTCCCGGCATGGGCAAGACTCCGTTCCCGTACCACGATCATTTCGGTTCGCGAATAGTTTTATTTAGACACACGAGTTTGGAGCAGTCTTAATGATGAGGAAGGAATAGATTTTAATTAATTCAGGAAGAATGCATAAATACATTTGTGGGAATAAAAAATGGTTGGATTTTCATGTAACTACGAGCCATTCTTTGCATCTAGGTTTTAATGCTGAATGAGAAGATCGTCTGTTTTTCTCAACCTACCGAAAACACGCGGGAAAGCTTTTGTAATTTAATCGGTTTTGAAAAGATCATTTTTGTGTTTGTTTTTTTTTTACTTTAAAAATAGCATAGATGGTGAATATTTTGCGGAAATGAAGACAAAACTACCTTTATTCATTTGCGTTATACTTATTTTGAAAAATACAACAGAGTTTTTTTTTAATAAAATCAATGACGTGTGTTGCTCGTAACACAATGATCAAACGTACTACAAGAAGCTTAGTGGGTGCATTGCATTTGCTATTGTGTCTACACAGCACTGGGCTGCCGATCGACATTTTGTTTCTGGCTTAGAAGTTATAAAACTGCTGACAAAAACCAGCGAACACAAAACAAGAAACATACTGAGGGATGTGGACAAGCCATTATCATTCAGGTAGCAGCATCCAAGCACAGCGAAGGTAATTAAATTCATTTTGGAATGAGCTAAAATTCGAATACAGACATTAATGAGTAACATCGTCATCGACAGTAGCGCCTCTGTCAGCAGTTTTCCCAAGTATATTCCATTCGATGTTTTTTAGGTATATACATTGACGTGTTAACAATTCAATGTCCCTTGTAATGATGAAAACAGAGACATGAAAAGTCCAATATAATAAAAATAATTTTGAACAAAGGCTGAGCAAATTTGATAACAGGAAACATTATATTGCTACTTCCCGAGGTGGAGAAATGTAAAAAAAGACAACAAGGAACTGTATGTTATATATCTACATGGCAATGCTGTTGTTGGCACTCGTACACATCCGGCTACCATTATCACCAGTAGCCATCCACTTTTGTCCTCTGCGTTTTTATATTGGTTTAGTTGTCTGAGAGGCATATTAAAACAAAAATATCACCACCCCCCCCCCCCCCCCCCCCCCCCACGATGGGCTGGTTGCGTAGCTAGAATTGACAAAACAAGATCCATGGAGAAACTTTCTGAAAACTTTTATTTGGAAGACAGAGAAGGAGATGTGAGGATAACATTAATATAGATCTTGTGGATGTAGGTTTTTAGATTGAGAAGTGGGTGGATCCGAGGCTTGGTTGATTTTTTCGTAACACATCTTTTTTTTAAAGGTGAAAGATTGTTAGCCCTACACCCAACCTGGAGGACCAGGGTATCACTCTTAGTCTAGCGCATCTCCTTAGACCTGTCCGGCTTGGGTGACCCTACCATGAGCCGAAGCTCAGGCCGGCA